AGGAATATTAAGGGGGACCCTGTAAAGAAAGAGGAAATTGAAACAAACAATCCACAAAAACAGGGACTTAATACGTATTATGATGACGCTACATTCATATCTTTCAATAGTAACTCTGAACATGAATGGGCTTCCTGATCCTATCAAAAGGCATAGGGTTTCAGACTGGATAAAAAAGCAAGACCCACCTAATTGCTGTCTACAAATGACTCATTTTAGACATAAGGACACCTACAGCATGAAAATAAAAGGTTGGAGAACCATTTACTATTCAAATGGTCCTCATAAGAAAGCAGGGGTAGCCATCCTCATATCAGATAAATTAAATTTATCCCAAAGATTGTAGTAAGAGATGAAGAGTGGCAGTATATCATACTGAAAGGATCTATCCAACAAGAGGAACTAACAATCATGAATTTTATGCCCCTAATGCGGGAGCTGCCAGGTATATCCATTAAATAATAACCAAAGTAACGACATATTAGATAATACACTAATACTGGGAGACTTCAACATGGCACTTTCTGTAAATGACAGATCTTCTAAGCACAACATCTCTAACAAAACAAGAGCTTTAAATGATACACTGGACCAGATGGAACTTTAATCCCACATCGGGCTCCTGGTGCATGGAGCCTGCTTCTCCCTCTGCCTGTGTCTCTGCCTCTCTCTCTCTCTCTCTCTCTCTCTCTCTCATAAATAAATAAAATAAAATAAAATAAAAAAAAAGACTGATGAATCACTAACCTCTACCTCTGAGATAAATAACACATTTTACGTTAATTAATTGAATTTAATTTTTTTAAAAAGAAAATAAAGTTAGATATATGAGTCAAAATTACACCCTAAAAAAAAAATTACAAGCCTAGGTAGAGTAAGATTGTTTCCCAAAATATTGTGCGTGATTGGTGTATGGACTGTCCTAACTAAAGGGCTGGAATCTATGAAAGGTGGACAATATCATCGCCCTACCCGCCTTGGCTGGTTGTGTCAGACTTTTGCACCTGTTTAGAATCCAAGTAATGCAAATGATGAGGAGTGTCTGTCTCTCCCCAGTTTTCTTCAGATAATTCATTTCTGACAACCACATTTTTAAAATATATAACTATATGTTTCAGTCTCACCATAATATTTCAGTATCTGGCTCGGTGTTTTAGGAACCAATTGAGTTATGGTTCTAGTTAAGATGTGAAATTAGTGGGAAAAAAGTGAAGGCTAGAGTCACTAGCCTTCTAAATCTAAATATAAATCTAAAAATAAAAATCTAAAAATAAATCTAAAATCTAAAATAAATCTAAAAACAAATCTAAAAATAAAAATATCTAGAATGACTTCCAAGTTAACCTTGCTTGGGTCTTTTTGAGGAAATAATGTAACGTTGGGATATTCTGTATTTTCTCTTTGAAACTTGACTATACAGAAACCGTCCATAAAATACAGGGTAGAGTGTATTTAAAAGAAAATACAAAACATTATGTATATGACATAAATTTTTGAGGTGGGAAAAATGTTGACTTTCTTTCAGTTTACTTTATCAACTTTTTAATGGATCAATTTTAACAACATAAATGCTTTACTTCCAAAACTGTTTACAACGCTATGAATTGGTCTGGGAAAATTTTTTTTAAGATTTTATTTATTTATTTATTCATTCATGAGAGACACACAGAGAGAGGCAGAGACACAGGCAGAGAGAAGACTCCCTGTGGGGAGCCAGATGGGGGACTCGATCCCAGGACCCCAGGACCACGCCCTGAACCAAAGGCAGATGCTCAACCACTGAGGCACCCAGGCCCCCAGTCTGAGAAATTTTATAAGAGATTTTTCTCTACATGCTTACTGAAGAAGTTTTGGAATACAAGTGAGGTCCGGAGCTAATGACAAAGAAAGAATTCTTGGGATGCCTTTGGGTCAAAATGGTGGTTTTACTAAAGCCTGGGGACAGAAACCAAGGGCAGGCAGAGCGGCTGCCCTGGGCTTGCAAGGAGTGGCTGACTACATAGTGGCCAGTGGGGGAAGTAAGGAAAAGGGAGATTTCAGAAGGATTTTCATATGCTAAGGAGGACCTACAAGATACTGGAGACCTAGCCATTTGTCAGTTAAAGAGCACTTTTCCCTCTAGCAGGATATTAACATTAAGACAATTGGAAACTTCCTAAAGAATGCTGTACAGATTCCACCCCGGGTGGGGGTCATCTGTGGGATATCACCCTGTGCTTTGTCGTCAGCTAGCCCTGTTCCCTCATCACTCTCTATCTCCAAATAATTTTTTTTAACAAATTAATTTTTATTGGTGTCCAATTTACCAACATACAGAATAACACCCAGTGCTCATCCCGTCAAGTGTCCCCCTCCGTGCCCGTCACCCATTCACCCCCACCCCCCGCCCTCCTCCCCTTCCACCACCCCTAGTTCATTTCCCAGAGTTAGAAGTCTTTATGTTCTGTCTCCCTTTCTGATATTTCCCACACATTTCTTCTCCCTTCCCTTATATTCCCCTTCACTATTATTCATATTCCCCAAATGAATGAGAACAAATTACCTAGATAACCTTCAAATCATCCTGAAAATCTACGAATTCGGCCTGAGATCTATCTCCAAATAATTATCTATTTTAAGAATTTCACTTCAGGGGAACCTGGCTGGCTCAGTTGGTAGGTCACACGAATCTTGATCTTGGGTTGTGAGATCCAGCCTCACTCTGGGGGTAGAGATTACTTAAAAGATAATAAAATAAAATAAAATCTTTTTTTTTTTTAAAGGACAAAAAATCCTTAGACTCCATTACAAGCTGTTGTATTTATGTGATGAATCATTAAATTTTACTCCTGAACCCAATATTGCACTGTATGTTAATGACCTAGAATTAAATCTAAAAAATGAATAAATAAATGAATGACTAAATTAATAAATAAATTCCCAGATCTCCTGAATTTCTGCAGCAAACCTGACAGCGTAGAAAGAGCAAGCTCTGGCCCTCAGGCCCCATCCACCTCTTCCCTTGGGTCTAACCCAGCTCTGACCCCGGAGAGGTGGCACAGAGGGAGCACACAGAGAGGGTGTCCTGGGGGTGACAGGTATGAGGGCCCGTTCTTGGTGGAGCAGGTGGCGGATGACTGCTCAGGCCCCGCTGGGGGCAGGTGAGGTCAGCGTCCCGTCTCCCCCTGATGACGTGTCCTTGGGCTTCAGCAGCTGGCGGGCAAGGCCCAAGGCGGCTGCGACAAGATGGACGCCCGCCGCCATGTTGTTGGGCCTCCCGATGCCCCTCGGTCCTGCCCGCCCAGCACAATCCAAATGATTCCCAAGACACTTAATTTTGCTAAGAAAGAGGAACGTTAGAGAAAGGGATGTTGCAGCCCACGGATGTAGAGAGCGGGAGCTTCCAGTCCCTGCAGGTGCCTGCTGACCCCACTGCCCTCCAGCCCCGTCGCCCCCGCCTCCGGCCTGGTCCTCGGGACGCTGCTGTGGCGGAGGGCCTCGTGCAGATGCCCTGGACTGAGGGGGCACGGCCTTGCCAGGGATGCTACTCCCCACGCTCACCCTAGGAGGAGCCAGTCAAGCTCTTACGGGACCAGCTTTCGGGATTTTAAGAGTAAATCCTAATATTAGGTGGAGTTTCAGATACTTTTGTCCTGAGTTATTTTTCAGCTGACTACTTTAAAAGGCCTCTCCATTACAACTGATTAGGGAATAAGTGAACGTATATAAAAATGCCACTAAAATCCCATCGTTATATAATTACTTACTGAAGAGAATTAACACCTGTCCATAGACATAAGAAGTTGCAGAAATCTTTCCATCAGAAATAGATAACCTTAAATACAAACATTGTGTGCATGCTTTTATTGATCTCCTAGCTCTGGAGCTCCTCTATAGATAAAGTAGAAAATATGCAATTAGGTCATCTAATTGGGGTAAAGACTTTCTGGAAAGAAAAATATTAGCTTAATTACAAAAAAAAATTCCTAGCTTTCTGGCTTGATCATATTTTTTCTGAGTGTTCTTATGAAAATCACTTCAGGAATCAGTTCAGAGTACCTGGGTGGCTCAGTGGGTTGAGCAACAGACGCTTGATTTGGATTTGGGTCATGATCTTGGGTCATTGGGTTGATCCCAGTGTAGAGCTTCATGGTAGCTGGGGAGTCTGCCTGTGATGTTCTTTCTGGCTCTCCCTCTGCCCCTCTCTCTGCTTGTTCTCTCTTTCTCTCTCTCTCTCCCTCTCCCAAAAATAAATTTGTCTTAAAAAAAAAGAAATCTGAATTCATTTGTAAAAGTGAAGCTGAATAATATTACCTACTTCTTAAAGTACCGTAGAGACTTAGAGTACTCTGCGTACTTTAAACCATAGTTCATTTCTTTATCTTTTTTCTCTTACAGGTCAGACCTCTAAAATATTATGATCAGGTGAAGAGCCAGCTTATACACTTGATCCCGCTGTAACTCCCCTTCAAGCAACTCCAGAGCAAAGAGCTATCTCTTCTAGAGACGCCTCCAGAGCAGGACACTGAGGGTTTCCTTCACTCAAAACTCCCAGGCTCTCTTGCCTTCACATGTAAAAATCTCTAAGAGCACTGTTCGCTTAAATGAAGTGAAGTCAAGTGCATTTCTAAAATTTGGCACAATATATAATACAGTGTCTAGATGAACAGGACAATAAAGGAGATGGAATACCTTCTTTCATTTGAAGAGAATTTAAAAGTGGAATGACATAAGTAAATGAAGACTAGTGATAGACAAAGGGTAGAAAAGTTGATCTTTCAAGGTGTCCTCTTGAACCTGGTACTCAATTCCTCGGACAATAAACATTCCTGACCTCCCTGCTTAATATTAAACACCCAACAGAGCCACTATGCCTCAGTAGCAATCAACAGCACACATTATAATTTTTATGCTGGCTCTTTTGCCAGAGTCATCAAATTGGTTTTCATGCTCATAGCCATGTGCAGGATGAGCGAAGAATGTCCCAAGAAGGTCATGCTTTCTAAATCACCTGTTCCTGTTCATCCTTTACTATGGCAGAAGGATGCCGCATACTTTTTTCTTAGCTTCTTCATGGCTGTCTTCATGTCAGCATTTCTGAGTGTGTAGATAGGAGGGTTCAACATAGGTGTGATCACTGTGTAAGAGACAGAGAATATCTTATCCACGGAGAAGCTGCAGAAAGGTCTCAGGTAGATGAATACACATGGCACAAAGATCAGGCTGACCACTGTTAGGTGAGAGGCACAGGTAGACAGTGCCTTGCTCCGGCCCTGGTGGAAGCGAGTTCTCAAAGTGGTCAGGATGATGGCATAAGAGAACAGCAAGACAAAGAAGCAGATGAGAGAGAGCAGACCACTGTTTGAGACCATCAGCACCTCTACTACATATGTATCCATGCACGCGAGCTTGATGACCTGAGGGACGTCACAGTAGAAGTTGTCCAGTTCATTGGGGCCACAGAAGGGCAGCTGGATCACCAGCATGACCTGTGTGATAGAGTGGATGAAACCCCCACACCAACAGGCAAAAACCAACTGAAAGCACAGCTGGCGGTTCATGACTGTCAGGTAGTGCAAGGGATTACATATGGCCACATACCTATCATAGGCCATGACCGTCAACAGAAACGTCTCATTGGCTCCCAGAAAGTGCAGGAAGTAGATCTGGGCCAAACATCCTGAAAAAGAGATGATCTTGCCTTGTTGTAGAAAATCTCTTAACATCTTGGGCACGGTAACACAGCCCAGGCATAGGTCAATGAAAGACAGATGACCCAAAAAATAGTACATGGGAGATTGGAGCAGGTGAGCATCAGCTCGCACTGTTACCATTATCAACAGGTTTCCCAGAATAACAGTCATGTAAAACAATAAAAATATGAAGAAGAGAAACAGCTGTAGTTCCCAGGAGGATGATAGGCCCAGAAGAACAAATTCTGTCACCTTAGAATCATTGCTTTTTTTCATCAAGTCAAGAATATCAAGTGACCTAAAAAAAGAAAAAAAAAGATCAAATTGGAAGAAAGATTCAGACCAAATGCTCTCTCCCCCTTTCTCTCTCTCTTTCTCTCTCTCTACATATGTGTGTGTGTGTGTATGTTTATAGAATCATATTCCAAGATAAAAAAAACTTAAGCACATTCTGTGAGGTAGGAAATATACATTCCTGTATAAATAGAATGAGGAACATTTTGCATACCTTCCAACTCTTCCTTTCTATAATGCTTTTAAGTTGCATTTACAACAAACTAACGAGGAAGGAGACAGGGAACTGGGCATGAGGCGATGAGAAGATGAAAATCATTCCATTTTTTAAGAGACAAAATTAAAACCTCTAAGGGCAGGAAGACTTCTGGAATGAACTATCTAGATCTAATGCCCAACTCTGTCACTCTCCAATGCAGTGACTTCAGGCAAGGTATCAAACTTGAATTTTAATCTTTGCTTATTCAATTAATATGAAGACAATGATACCTTCCAAGATTGTTTTGAGAATCAAATATAAACTCTTTATGAACAAAATACACTTACATAAAAAAATGACTTAAGTCCCTGAAAGTAATGAGATATTTCTTTTGTTTGTTTTAAAGATTTATTTATTTATTTGTGAGAAAGAGAGAGCAAGAGGGGTGGGTGGGCAAGGGAGAAAGAGAGTATCAAGCAGATTCCATACTGAGCACAGAGCCCAACACAGGGCTTGATCTCAGGACCCTAAGATCTTGACCTGGGCCCATATCAAGAGTTGGACCCTTAACTAACTTGAGCCACCCAGGCATGAGGCAGTATACCTGATTCATCTTTGTACTCATGCCACAGTGCTTACTATGTGATTATTATGATGCTGAAAGGAGAATGCTTTATGCTATAAATTGCTATACTGTACCACAGTTAGCAGCTATTATGAATGTACATGTTAGGAAGCAAATCATTTAGGAATGAAAGGAACCTCATGTCCTTGTCTTTATTTATTATCCCAGGTTACAGACGTTAGGGAGTTTGTAGAGACTAGGTAAGAGAAAATAAAATCTTTATCTTTAAAGGAATCGTCAGACTCAAGAGGAGTAGGACAGTAGTTAGAATACACTAATCACCAAAAGAAAAGACCAAGGGCCATGATCCATATCACTGAGCAGGTACAAAAGAGGTTTACCATGACCCATTTCATAGAAGAGGATGATAAAGGAAAGGAAATTAGAATTCTTTTTTTTTTTTTTTGAAATTAGAATTCTTCTGCTTTTGGAATTTTCAACAACCATAGGTACATTTAAAAGAAATAAAGTTTACACTACAATATTGTTTTATCCATTTTCTCCTGCTCTACATTTACATTCATTCCCAATATTGGGTGGGAGTATCCCAGATTACAAATTTTTTAAAAAGCAGTGAAAAATTAGTAGATGTTTCTCTGTCTAGATTAGTATATTTTTAATCTAGAACTAGCTCTTGGTAAAATATTAAGTCAGGCAAAATTTGTATTTTTCTGTCCTCAGTCCTAGTTACCTAGTCTATGTTGCACTTGGTTCTCTCAAATCAGTCAGGGAAAGTTATTGGATAGTTATTCAGATATTCCAAAAAGAAAAATTCCTAATACCAAGAAATTTCAGTACATATAGTATTTCAAGATAAGCAAGTGAGAGAGAGATTTGGGGCCCAAGGAAATTTTGGATGTCTTGGTCACACCACATATGTGACCATTCTCTTCACCTGCCTGGAGTCAGGTGCCCAGGTGCATCTAATGCTACAATCTGATAAATAATGGAAGGAACCACCTCCCTCTCTAGCATCATTTGGAAAACAGGGCAAAAAATACAGGAAACCAATTGCTGTCATATGCCCAGCCCTACTTGAGCTCTGATACAATGGAGATTTTTCCAATCTTCTTTGGATATACCAAGGATTGTGAATTTCCATATAGAAGTTGCATTCTGATGTTCTTTCCCATGATCCAAGATGTTGAATTAGACAAGGTCAAATTCTCATTAAAATTCTGCATCGAGGGGTCCCTGGGTGGCTCAGTGTTTGAGGGTCTGCCTTTGGCTCAGGGTATGATCCCAGGGTCCCAGGATCGATTCCCACATTGGGATCTTTGTATGGATCCTGTTTCTCCCTCTGCCTGTGTCTCTGCCTCTCTCTCTCTCTCTCATGAACAAATAAACAAAATCTTTAAAAAAAAATGTCCTGCATCTAACTTCAAGCCTCATCTTTGGAAAACTAGGAAGAGCCTGAGAAAGACCAAGTTTTTTTTGTTTGTTTTTTGTGTTTGTTTGTTTTTTAATTAAAAAGAGGCTTCTGAAAACAAGGGGAGAGAAAACAAATGGAAAAGTAGAATCTAAAGCATTCCTGTAATTTATGACTGAGAAACAATGTGATTATTTCCTACTGTGAAAACATAATAGGAGAAGGGTGATATCAAAATCCTTACCTTTCATGAGACAAACATAAACAACCGTATATTTGAGTTGTAATAAATTCCAGTTATTCTTAAATTTTTGTATTGACTCAGGGAATATTCTGCCTTCAGATAATGTGAAAACATAATGCCAACTATTATGGAAAGCTCACTCTCAGTGTTGATAAACTGCCACACTTGGCAAAAATACATCCAGCTTCTACATTTCTGAAGACTCTGATCACAGTCAGAAATGTGACCACAACAATGACAGAAAAAAGATTGCTACTTGAAGCTTAAATGCCATGTGAATTTGTTTTGAGGGTATCTGATGTAATTCTAATTTTTCTTGAAACACCAAGAAATGGACACCATTCGTTGAATGTGACACCCATGAAGGTATTTCCTACTGAGAAGGGCATCATCTTTCTGCTTTAATCTTTGTTTGAAACACTGCACCTTAAATTTCTTTTGGGAGAAGTGAAGAACTTATCAAGAAGTAACTGAAATAAAGAAATGGAAGATAGTATCTAGGAGGTCCTGAGACAATACTGCCATGAATCCAGTGCTTTCTGCTATATTACGTTGATCCTATCTTATCCATACCTTGTAATTCCCTTCCTATACCACCGGCCCCAGTTCCCTGATGCTATGAGAATGTCATTGCTCTGTGAGTGTTTCCAAATGTATAAACCTGGAACAACAAAACTCAAATGATTTCTTAAATTTAAAGATTACGACTGTCAGAGAAGTATAAAAATGGCTTCAAAGACAGAAATACCAGCAAGGGAGGGAAATGGAGCTTTGAATAAAGACATCTGAGAAACTTACATGACTGCATGTCAGGAGCTATGTGAGTTCGAGGAAATACTATGTTACCCTACTGTTCATCCCACAGATCCCGTCAGAGTTTCAGTCCAACAAAATTAGAAGTTCTCAGATGACCATCATAGTTGCCCAAGTCTGTACCCTAACCGCTTCCTTATAAGTCACGCCCTAGTTGAGAGCTGGCTGTACAAGGGGAAAGATCACTTGTCCCCAGGGCTCCGGATGTGTCTGAGGCTTTATGGTCCTCATACTACTGCTCAGCCTAATGAGCCTTGGGATTTCCCTAGACTGCTGTTGTCTGAATCTCAGTCTTGCCGAAAAGCTGACCTCAGACCTGCAGGGTCTAGAACAGTCAGACCTATTGCATAACACAGCTCACCCCTTTTACTTACTTTGGATTGATTAATTTGGCACTTGATATGCTGACACTTTTCCATGTGTCAGTCTGTACCTGAGAAAAAGGATTGCCACTGCTTTCTGTCTCACCACGACCCTGAAGTAGGCAAGGCTGAACGATTACATACCACTTACCACTGGAAGCTATAGAAGCAGAAACTCTCGCTTCAAGGTGTTACAGAGCCATCATATGACACCGGAGTCTCTTGATGATGCCTCAAGCATCTTATCTAATCGGTGTCTATGTATGGATCTTATACAGAAAACACAGCTGCTGTCATTAGTAATTGAATATTTTTATAAATTGTTGCTGTCAAAGTATAATTTTTTGAATGTTATAAACAAATTTCTCAAATAGATGAAAGTGTCATAAATTGTATTTAACTCTTTAATTATTTAATTTTAATTTATAATGCTATAAATATTATTTATTACAATATAAAAATTATATTAACTCCCTAGTAATGTTCCAGGGGTGCCTGGGTGGCTCAGTCAGTTAAGCATTTGCCTTCTCTTCAGATCATTATCCCAGGGTCCTGGGGTCAAGGCCTGGGATGGAGCCCCACATTGGGCTCTCTGCTCAGTGGAGAGTCTGCTTCTCCCTCTTCCCCCTTCCACTCCCCCTGCTCACATGCTCTCTCTCTGTCTCTCAAATAAATAAATAAAATCTTTTAAAAACATAAAAGAATTCTTTTTTAAAATGTGGTTTCATATAGAATATAAAAAAACATTGAAATAAAATTTCTAAGTGATTATGTGAACTGGTTAATGTCCTAAAGGACAGTACAACATTAACCTTTGGGATTACCTTTTCTACCATGGTTAAAAAAATAATAATAACACAATTTAGCCGTTTTTTATTACAGCTATCTTCCCATCATTCAAAACTGTGAGAAATAAATATGCTTATATGCCACCCAATCTATGATACTTTTGTTATATCAGCCCAAAAAGAATAAGTCAGTAAGTAAAGTCTATTTCCTCACCAGCCTAGAGAAAAATAAGAGTTGATACTTGACAATATCTTCGCAATCAAGCAGCTCAACAGATCAGCAATCCATATATATTTTATAAATGCCTATAGTCACACACATCCCTTTTTATATTTCTTAAAGGGTGAAAATAAAGATGCCTTAACATAGTCTAAAGGTAGCCAAATGCCCTATCAAACTGTTACCTGGCAACTATTTGACAATATATAAAAAGAGGAAGCAAATTAAAATTGTGCTTCATAATCAATGTTGTTGATTGTTGTTGTTGTCCTATTTTATTAAGTGTTGTCTAGGTATCCAAAGATTTTTCATTAATTATCGCTTTAGTGTCAGTCCAAAGTCTTAAAGTTAACAAAGAATATTGCAAATTATGTATTAGATAACATTCCAGAGAAACACAATTACTATTGATAATAAAAACATTTATTAGAAATAAAATTCAATTTGGTTGAACACATAATTTTACATTTTTAAGAATGCTAGACATGTAAAAGTAATGCTAGCTCATCTGATCAGGGAAATGAGTAGATGAAGTATATTCAATTCAGATTAAGCAGTTTCTCTATGTGAAAACAAAGTGGCCTTACAAAAAACAAAATGCATATCTGTGTTATATCTTAATCTGTTATAAAATGATGAAGACAAACACAGCTCTTTTGAAACCAAACTAGCCAAACCAATCTGATTTGCTCAAGGAATCATTCTCAATACCTGAACTTGGATTCTTGCATACAAATGATCCTACGCTAGCAGTTTCTGTTAGAAGTTGTTCATTTCTTTTCTCTTCAAAGGCTATCATATTTCAATTACTAGAAATTCCATTTCTTTCTTCCCCAGAGATTCTTTCTCTTGTTTAAAATTTATGAAAGCACTTATTATTCTTTTTAACCTACTAGAATTACAGCTCCATTAAATTGAAGAAACTTGAAAAGCTGATATATGGACTTCTTCTGGGAATAAGAAAATATTTAGTACTCATACAGGGAGGACAAAATATTTTATCATTTACAGATACATGGAGAACTTTTAGCTATAGTTAACAAATCCAGCCATAGGTGAAAAGCAAATATGGACACACTTAACGTGTAAAAACTCCTAAAAAAAAATATGTATTTTCATTCTACAAGTATTCTGAGTTGCAAATATATGCTAAGTATTGTGCTAATAACTGAAGTGATTATGATTCTTTTTTTTTCCTTTGGCTTCTTCTCTTGAACATTTTGTTTTCCTTTTTTTAATAATAAATTCATTTTTTATTGGTGTTCAATTTGCCAACATACAGAATAACACCCAGTGCTCATCCCGTCAAGTGCCCCCCTCAGTGCCCGTCACCCATCCACCCTCACCCCTCACCCTCCTCCCCTTCCACCACCTCTAGTTCGTTTCCCAGAGTTAGGAGTCTTCATGTTCTGTCTCCCTTTCTGATATTTCCTACCCATTTCTTCTCCCTTCCCTTCTATTCCCTTTCACTATTATTTATATTCCCCAAATGAATGAGACCATATAATGTTTGTCCTTCTCCGATTGACTTATTTCACTCAGCATAATACCCTCCAGTTCCATCCACATTGAAGCAAATGGAGTGATTATGATTCTAAACAGGCTAGAAGAGATACTATCCCTCACAGAGTAAGCATTCTAATATGGAAGACAAGGTACAAAATAATTGTAGATTTTGATAACTACCATAAACAAATAAAGCAGTGTGATAAAGAGCAAGTAAGAGGTGCCAGCTTTAGATAACACGGTGACTGTAATACAGTGAACAAGGGAGGAGTATGAGAGGAGTTTGAACAGGTAGCCAAAAGTCAGAATCTACAGAGTCCTGTAGGTCATGGGAAGGAGTTTTGGCTTTATTCTAAAAAGAGTGGATAGAATTTGAAAGATTGTCTTTAAAGTAACATTTAAATGAACATTTATTTCATAAATGTTTTTAGAATATCACTCTAGAAGGATCAGATAGGGGAAAATGGGAGACCAGGTAAATGGCTGCCTTCCAGAAAAGAACCAATAATAGTTACACTAGGATATATTGGCAATGAATAGGCATAAATGGATAGATTCAGTGTTTTTAAGAGATAAGACATTTTAAAACATGGATTAATGTGAAAGCAGTAAAAGCAAAGAGAAATGAACAAATTAAGTTTTTTTAGAAGTAGAAATGACCGGAATTGCCTTAATTACTAGTAACGGAAAACTAAATTGTTTAGACTTACTTCCCACAGGATAAAGAAATTTGATAAAATGTATCGAAATATAAGAAGATAGAAAAGAACAACAGCAGTGGTTTTTGGTGATTCAGAACCCAGACAGATAAACACTAAAACACCAAACCTTCTTCTCCTCTGTAGTGTTCCCAATTGTGGCGAATTTTGGGATGCATTTCAGAGGTTTTGCAGAAAGAAGCTAAGACCCAGAATCTTCCCTAGATGGGGAGCCTTATAGGAAATACTCTTCATCTTAAGATGGGACACAGTTCCATCTTTAGGATAAGTGGAAAACAGAACTACTGGGTATTGACTCCCAAAAAAAAACAAAGACCCTAATCAAAAAGATAATGCACTCTAAGTTTATTGCAGCATTATTTGCAATAGCCAAGAAATGGAAGCAACCTAAGTGTCCACTGGACAAATGGATAAGGAAGATGTGGTATGTATTTATGTATATATAATGTGTGTGTATGTGTATAATGGAATATTAATCATATAAAGGACAAGATATTGCCATTTGCAACAACATAGATGGACCTAGAGAGCATTATGCTAAGAAAAATAAGTCAGACTGAGAAAGACAAATACCATATGATTTCTTTCATATGTGGAATCTCCAAGGCAAAACAAATGAATAAACAAAAAGAATCAGATCTATAAATACAGAGAACAAACTGATGGCTGAGACATAGGAGGGAAATGGGGAGATGGGCAAAATGGGTGAAGGGGAGGAGGACATACAGGCTTCCAGTTGTGGAATGAATAAGTCAGGGGAATAGAAGGCGCAGCATAGGAAATATCCTCAATGCTCTGTGACAGCGCTGTATGGTGACAGATGGTAGCTACTCTGGTGGTGATCACAGCCTAACATGGAGACTTGTCAAACCACTCTGCAGTACGCCTGAAAATAATGTCACATTGCATGTCAACTACACCCAAATAAAGACAATTTAAAAAATAAAAATGAAACAGAACTAAGTGTGCTTCCGAACCCAATTTAAATGACTTTAAAGGAAGTGAGGAAGTGAGGAAGGTTGCCTTGATAATGCGTATGATGGGCCAGGGAGGAGAGAAAGATGGTTAAGAAGCTTGGACCCCGGAGAGGCCCTGACAAGGGTAGCAGCCTAGTGTGTGTGTGTATAGAGATGAAAACCCAGACTATGCCTTTGCCTTTGCTTAACAATAGCCCCAACAACAGGTCCTTGGGTGCCTGGCAGACACAAACCCAAAGGCTCCGGGAAGTAAGGTGTTTTCCTCCTAGTCCTTAGAGAATCCCCACGTATAACTTTTCAAGGGCAGTGAGCGGACAGAGACAAAATTAACTGTAGGACTTTTCTATTGGCAACGTAACGTAACAAATTCCAACAAATTGGTAGCTTAAACAAATTGATCATGTTCTGAAGGTCAGCGGTTTGACAAGGCGTCTCGGGGCTAAAAATCAAGGTGTAGGCAGTGCTTCATTCCCTCCTGTAGGCTCTAGGCGACGATCTCTGTCCTTCCTTCCTTAGGTTGTAAAGGGTTCCCACCTTTCCTGGCCTGCAGCTCCCTTCTTCCACCTTCCAAGGCCGCAAGGCCGAGTGAAGTCCTTCTCATACCACCCCATGTCACTTCCCGCAGGCAGGGGCCTACCTGGAGAACTGAGGACACCCCCTACTCCTTAATCCTAATCCCATCTGCAAGATTCATCTCGCCACATGATGCAGCTGGTTGACAGGGCTGAGTATGTTTTTCTGAGGGTTTCAGCCATGAACAGCTTTGGAGAACCTCATGGTGCCTACTTCAATATGTAATGAAATGAGGTGCTGTGCTCGAAAGCCAATGCCTCACTCAGACAGAAGAAACCGACAACTCAGGGGTCACACGCAGGACTTAGCACACCTCATCTATAAAAGAATTCCCAGAGATAGATTTTTAAAGCATTTATGCCTAAAGAAGGAAAAGACAAATTTTGCCTGTTATCACAGTTAAGAAGGGCATAATTTCCGTCTTCTCCACATTGTTTCTATTTATCATGAGATAAATATCCTTCACAGGTATTGTTCCTGCTGCTACAATCCTAGAAGGCAGTTTCCCTCCCGTTCCCACAACATTCAAGATGTAGTTCCTTGCCATCTGGTTTTCACCATAACTGCTCAGAAATCCACTTTCTGCCTAATGTTGTTTCTGGAAAGGTGATCTATTTTTCTCTTGTTCCTTTTCAGCTATTATTGATTTTTGAAGATTTATTTGTTTATTTTAGACAGAGAAAGAACATACACATACACACGTACATGTGAGAGGGGGTAAGGGCGGAGGGAGACACTGAGAGAATCTCAAGCAGACCCCCTGCTGAGCATGGAGCCTGCCATGGGGCTTCCCCCCAGGACCCAGATCATGACCTGAGCTGAAGCCAGGAGTCCAACACTTAACAAACTGAGCCACACAGGAGCCCCTGAGCCCCTATTTTTGTCCTTCATTTCCATTGTTTATAATTTGCATGGTCCAAATTTTTAATTTTATATTGTTAGAATGTGTTGGGCTTCCTCTTTGAGGTTACATATTTTTGTGTTTGACTAAATCTATAGGTATTATCTCTTTAAATATCACCGGACTCTTCCTTTCAGCACAATTGCCAATTAAACTATTAGACTTCCACATTTAACTTTTCTTCCATTTTTCTTTTTTTGTCTATTCAAATGCATTAATATACAAAGTCTTTTGATGTAGTTGGTAGTTAATTTATTCTCCTGTGTACTCTCCCATCTACTATTAAACCAGTCCATTGAATTTATCATTTTCATTATTACATGTATTTATGGGTAGTTATATTTTATCCAAAAAATCATTCCATATCCATTAACCAGTATGTTGCCACATCTATGTGGTACCGGTGGATGAAGGTGTTACACCATAGAGAAGTTTAAATCAGTTGCTGTGATGGAAGATCCTCTCAGTACCTTCACCAGGAAAAGTTAGTAAGAAAACTGATGTCTAGTCTTTTAAAAAATAAGTTAAGATTCTTACCTCTCTCTGCTTTGTTAGGGTTGCG